GTTGGTCTTTTTTTTTTAGAAGATATTGTATTTACTTTGGCGTACTTATCAGCACTTAATTTATTTTCTCTCTCTATTCCAAGAAAATGTACACACATGTTGATTATTGCAAACTATCATCTCAATTCCATTTTCAGCTACATGTTGGGTGATCTCGGGGAGTTGACAGCTGTCCAACAGGTGGCCCCGATTCTGCTGTTGTCTCTGCTGGATGGCACGGCTGCCGATGTGGATTTGTGCAGGAACACTCTAATGCTTCTGTCTCAGGTAAGATTCTGTAGTTGAAGATACTCCCTTAATTGGGGGATATGGAAAGGGAGAAGTTCAGGGATGGGCCTTTCTACAATTTTATTTTACTTAAGGTTAATTGGTGAGAAAAAAAAAAAAATTGTTTCTGGTATTTCGTCATGGTTAAGCTCAAGTGTGTGAAGTTACATTTGGGAATAGAGCTCGTGATTTATTTTTAAATTATTTTTTTTTCTCGATAATCTTCAAAACTGGAATTTTGTGGGCAACACTTATTTTCAGTTTTTCTTTTTGTTCAGTTCACTTGCATGAAAATTGTTTCACGTCCCTAACATCACAGTGTGTAAATGTTGTTGTTGTTGTTGTTGTTATCGATCCAGCAACAGCTGGGCTCTCGCCCTTCTGTCCAATGCCATGTAGTGATAAGTGCAGGTTTGCTGCAGTTGCTGACAGTGTGTAAATAGGGGTGTTCATTTCATGTCTAACCATATTTAGGAAAATGGTGTCTGTGTTAAGGTTGATGATTTTGCATCGTTACTTCTTTTACACTAGTTTTAATAGGCTGGTAGTTGGTGGGCATTGTAGTGTGGCATACCACCTTGTACTTCTTTTGTTAGCATTGCTATTGTCTTTGTCTGCTCTTTGTGGACTTTGTCCTAATATTGTTCCTAATATTGTGATGTTGTGGACTGGGTGGTTGGCCAGTGATCTGATGTAGTTCGCTCCTTCTTTTCTATCAAACTATCTTCATGATCTCTCCTTGTTTTCCTTGTTACTTACTCTCTTATAATACCTCTGAACTCCGGCTTTTATATGACCTCATTGTGTTGCAAGTGCCATAAACTCTTACTCCTTCTTTCCTATAAAAAAATCTATCATCTCTATCTCCCTCCTTCTTTTTTTGTGTTTGTTACTCTCTTGTAGCACCTCTAATCTTCGGCACTCATATGACCTTATTGTGTTGCAAATGCCGTAAAACTTTTACTTAAACTAAAACTCGATCTTACCCAATCCAAAACCAAACCTTGTTATTAATGTTATGGTCTATGACACAACTTGACTCTTCCACAGCTCCTTGAGGCCACACCCACCATGAGTACGCTCTTACTGGACCTCGGCCTGGCTGAAAGTCTGTGCAACCTGGCCACCAGCATCCAACGTCGCCAGGCACTGGGGTGAGTTCTTTGGTTTTGATGTAATTGAATGAAACCATTAGTCTTTTATTTATTTAGACTGCTGTATTAGTGAAATATAATTTGATTTTGTTAATACACTTCTTTTTGGGTGGTTTCTTTAAATTCTGTTTGAGTCCTGAAAAGATTTTCTTTCCCTTAATTGTTTTAGTTTTTTTTATTGCCCCTTTATTTTGGTCTCTAACGTAAGCCAAATTTTACCGCTTTTCTCTAATTTTTCTTAAATCAGTCACATTTAAAGCACATTTAGATAAAAGAGGTGCATTTTCTAATGAACATTGATGTAGTTGCCTTGGGATTTGGTGATTTTTATTTTATGAAATTGGGCTGACTTGGCTAAAGTCTCTTTGACGATGCCATTGAATGCTCAATGCCATTGAATTTAACCAAATAAGATGTATGTATCTTAACTTCATAATATTCCTGTTGACAGCCTGTTGCCCTCTTACTTGTATTTTGTCTCAAATGTTTTTCTTTTTAAAATAATTTGTTTAAGATTTTGTGTTGGTGGTTGGAGGGTGTCTCTGGCGGTCTTATTTCTTTTCGTCCCCTCTGTTGTTGCCATCTGTTGGCCTTTTTTTTGCCTATACTGTATGACCTTTCTTGTGTCAATGTGCATCTATTTACTCAAACCTCATGAAATTTTGAAATGTCAACTGAAACTGTTGACCCCTTTGTTCCTTCTACAGTGGCACAAGCAGTGAGGAAGAGGTGACCCACAGCCTCCTCATAGACGTACAGCACACGTTATGCACAACAGCAGTCTCAGAGCTCAGGTCAGAGAGTGGGCCAGTGTCTCATCTAATTTGGTTTGCCTTTTGAGCTATAATAATTTAGGACTTTCACCAGTCCTCTGCTCTAAGCTAGTACAGAGTACAGTTAAAATTGTACAAGGGGGGTGACCTATTGTGAATGTCTTGGGATGTGTCTTTATAATAGGAAAAAACACAAGGGGGGAAGTGGGAAGTGGTTATTTAAACACATATGATTATCTTAGATGGGAGGGAGCACTCATATGACCTTATGCAGTTTGCAAGCACCTTAAAACTCTTCAAACAAGTTTGATGGCCAATAGGGCGGATTCAACTGTATTTCTTATGTAACTGAAGCTCTCTGCCCTTGTACAGTTGGCGGTCCAACTTCCTTACCGGTCAGGAGGCTGCAGAAAACTCGCATTGTTAACTACAACTCACTTGTGCATTTGGCAAAAATTGAATGTTTATAACCTTCTGTGTTTCATCGGACATCATTTTTTATGGGAGGACTGCAGTGGTGGGTGGGTCCTATTTCTTTCAAACTATAAATTGACAGAGATGCTGAAACCAAGACAGAAGTCTGGAAGGTGCACACATCCACAAGTGGAAGTGGAACTTTTGAAAACTAAAAATGTGGCAAACTTTTCTATGCCAGAATTGGTCTCATCGGCCACAGTGAAAGCCACAGGTCATTGCAGCCCTACATTCTTCTTAAGTTCTATTTTGCTGAGGAAATATTCTCCTCTGCTGGAGTATTGGATCTCGTCAGACATGGATGGACGAGCTGTTGTATTGATTCAACACAAATGGGCTTATACAAATGTGTCAATACAACCACATGCACAGTTTCTGGCACCTAAGCACTTCTGTGTGCACCTTAAGTCACTTTCCATCCCCCCCCCCCCCCTCTCTCTCCCTCTCTCTCTCTCTCTCTCTCACTCACTCACCCACTCACTCACTCACTCACTCTCTCCTTCCCTCCCTCCTTCAGTCACCCACTCCCTCATTCCCTCTCTCACTTATCCTATGTCTCCAGTTGGACTGGACCGTCTCATTACCAAAATGTGGAGGATCTCTTCACTCTGCTCAAGGCCCTGGAGGACAATGAGTTCGGCCGACAGAGCGGTGAGTGTGGATGGTTGGCGGGTGCTCTGGTGTGGTTTGCTCCTTCTTTCTTATCATACATCTGTCGTCCTTATCTCCCCTCCTTCTTTTTTGTGTATGATACTCTCTTGTAACACGTAATCTATTCTTCGGCACTTATATCACCTGGCGCTCATATGACCTTATGCAGTTGCAAGCGCGTAAAACCTCTACTAAAGCTAAACTAATAAACTTATACGACCTTATTATGTTGCAAGTGCCGTAAAATTTTTATTCTTACTAAAACTAAAAGGAGCGGTGAGTACAAGTGGATACAGGAAATAACTAATTTTGCAAATTGACCATTTAGTGTAAGACTCCGCCATACGCCATTTTGAAAAGTGACGTATGATGGAGTCGTATACTGAGTAGTCGAAATGTGCTACTGTGTAACTAACAATTCTGGTGAGTTATTATTTAAAACTTGAGAGATTGGTGTGGAAGTAGGAAGGAGGCAGAGGAGGGAAGGAGATGAACTTTCGCTTTCATGGGAAGTCACATTACGCCTTAATGTTGTTTAAAATTAACACTTTGCCATCATATTTTGACGAAAATCCAAAGTAACAAGGTGGTAAAATCGCGAGTCAGCGAGATGAGGCGGCAAAGTGTTAAGGCGGTAAAGTGTTAAGGCAGTATCTGGCTCCGACCAGTTGGCATGCTGATAGATGCTACTTCTTTCTTATTTATGTCTTTTTATTTTTTTTTTCACTCCAAAAAAAAATTAATTAATAAATAATACATCAAAGCATCACGAAGTGAAAAAAACTACATTGCATTAAGTGAAGAGACACATTATAGGTGTCTATTTGACTCTGTCAAACAATCCGTTGAGCAAAACTGACCAATAGATTTGGATATCTTGGTGATTTGTGTGGTGCATTCTTGATTTCTGTATTCTTTGTTTAGGCAGTACTGGCGTGGTAGCAGTGTCTGTCATAAGTTTTGTTGTGTATGTGTGTGTGTTTGTGTGTATGTTTGTGTGTGTGTGTATGTGTGTGGGAAGGGAAAAGGGAGGGGGCGGATAATGGTGCAGTGTTACCTTGATGATGAAATACAATAGGACTCCTACACGTCCTCCACGTCCTCCCCACCCTCTTCTCCCCCTATCCCTCTAATATGATCTTATTTGTGTTGCAAGTGTCGTAAAACTGAGTTCAGTGAACTGGTTAACGAGTCCAATCAGTCAGTGCTCCTTATCTGTCTGTTTCAGCGGGGAGCAAGAAGCGAGCAGACACAGCTCGTGCCTTCCAGATATCACTGGTGGTCAAGATGTTTGAGTACATTGAGAAGCGAAGTGAGGAGTTCACGCAGACCGCTGCGCAAGGATGGTTCACCTCCTCCAACTCGGGTAAGGAGGTTCGAGTACGGCAATGAGGATGAGGGAGGGGTCACTTCTCCATTAGAGTTCCAGGATTTGTGAATCAGTTGATGCTTTTCACTTTTTATGTCTTTTGTGACAATGTGTGCCCTGTTTATGTGTTGTAATGTGTACTTTGCTCTTTGTCATTTACCAGCAGAAATATTAGGGTTAGCGGGTCTGTTAAACTTCGTTTTATTTGCTGAAGAAATTATGCCTCCCCTCCCCCCCCGAAATAAATAAATACATAAATAAATAAGTAAATGAATAAAAGAATAAATCTAGAGCTTGAACAAACAAAAAAAAGAATGGATAACCATAGGTCAAAAGAATTCTGTCGTTATTTTGTGGTTGGCCACCACTCTTTCTATGGTCGCAATATTCTTTTGATGAGTTTATTGGTGAACACTCATGCCCAGGTGGGTGGTTGGCAGGTGCTCTGGTGTGGTTTGCTTCTTCTTTCCTGTCAAATGTCTATCGTCTTTATCTCCCTTCCTTTTTTTTGCGTTTGTCACTCTCTTGTTACATCTCTAATCTTCGGCGCTTACATGACCTTATCTTGTTGCGCTAAGTGCCGTAAAACACTCAATAAAACTAAGACTCATGCCAAGTGTCCTCCTCTTACTTTTTTGTAGTACAATGTTTATCTTTTCTGTTCCTTGTGAACTGGAGCAGTTTTCCTACTAACATAAAAATCTCAATGTACAACATGGCTGGCTACCATACGCTATTAATCCAGTCACTGAATTTGCAGAATTTAAATGAACAAGTGGGTGGTTGGCGGGTGCTGTGGTGTGGTTTGCTCCTTCTTTCCTATCAAACATCTGTCGTCCTTATCTCCCCTCCTTCTTTTTTGTGTTTGTTACTCTCTTGTAATACGTAATCTATTCTTCGCCACTTAAATGACCTTATTGTGTTGCAAGTGCCGTAAAACTCATACTAAAACTAATACAACATGGCTGGCTCCCATATGCTATTAATCCAGTCACTGAATTTGCTGAATTTAAATGAACAACCAGGATAATTTTGATGAAGCATTCCATTCTTGTTTCATATACATACAGGTCTACTGATTTAATTGTGTTGTCTTTTCTCTTTAATTTCTATGCTCTGTAATTTTGTGTTTGATTTATTTCTGAGAAGCAGTGTATATATTTTTGCCGCATGGCATAAATGCTGCTTTTTGTAAGCAGGGAGTTGATAATATGTATTTATTGGGTGACCCATTCTAAGTGCGCATTACTTAGTTTCGCAAATTACCCTTGCTCATAGCATTATCAGAACAATATACTGTGCTCTGAATACATACACGTAGTGAGTGCACAGAAATTTATACTTATTATTGCTATCATTGTTTTATTGTGTATCGTTTGTTAGAAGCATGTTTTTCAGTGAAACATGGGTCACTTGATTAGCTACCGTCTGGACTTGTGTGGGTGATCTTTGAAGCATTCAGAGTTGGATAGTATAATCACAGGTCTAAGTCTTTCTTATAATTTATCTGTTCTGAAACACGCATTCAACGCATGCCTTACCAAATCTGTTTTGAAAAGCTACTGCAATTTTTTTTTTTTAAGACCAATATCAAAGTTCAATTCCTTTTTTCCTTTTTGTAGGAGTTTCACCCATCATTTTCTGTGGGCTATAGTTTACTTGTGTGAGAAACCAAATTGCTTTTCAGGGTCGAAAATGACAATTTCATTCCTGATCGAATTAGTTGTACTTAAAGCATGTAATATGTTCATGGCCATCCTGTCTTTGTTTCCCCTTTAAAAAGATGATATAATGTCACCATCCCTATGCTTTTCCAGATTTTTAAAATATTCTACACCCCATAAATTCAATTTGATGTTGTTGGGGGGGGGGGGGTTAAGAATTGTTTTGCTTATTACCCAATTACAGTAATTTTTTTTCTCCAAGCTCATCCTCTTTTTGATTTGTTTTAATTTAGAGGTCAACCTTCCCCTAAATTACTTTTAAATAAGCTTCACCCTCAAAACTTGCTTTATAATGTTTATCTCAGGAGGCACGTTTTGCATTTATATTATTACTAGCTGGGCCCCCTTTCAATGAAAGGAATGATCGGTGCATTAACATCAACTGAAAGTCATTGACCTACTATATTTTTACACTCTACTGGAAAGGAGCAATCAATCTATAGAGATAAAAAAGATATCAGAAGGCCAAAATCGATACTCTCAAAACAAAATGCGCCTCGAGAAATATCAGTTTCGGCACTTCCGTTGTGAAGGACAGATACGCAGATTTGTTTGGTTAATCACAAGAGCCAAAGAAGGACTGCAACTTTTTGTCAAATATATTTTTTTCTAAATTCAGGAAATAAATAAAAAATCGGGCTATCTTTTTGCAGGTACTTGCCAACTTTCAACTCTGCAGCTGTCATAGTTTTATGGGAAAAGTGACACATGTGTTTCCAAGTTGCCAAATATATAATAGATGTACAGATTGATTCTCTATTCCGCTTTCGTAGTTATACCAAAGATAGTACAAGACAAGATGGGCCACTTCTCTCTTTGAGCCAATTAAAAAAGTGTCCTCAAAATTTGGTGGCGCCCTCTTCACAAAAGCGCACTCTTTGCGAACAGAGTTACCCTACTTGAGTTTTAAAAAATCAAAGTGAAACTAGCAAGTTTTGGGATAAATTTCGGAAGAACGCTTTTTAAAAATGGTTACGCTGACAAAAAACCTCTTCCGGAGGAAAAGGAGATGGTTTTCTTCGTTTAATTTGACTTTAGAATGAAGGGCGAGAGGTCATTAAAATAAAAAAACCCTAAAACTCCCCACTGAACGTACCCGAACTGCTGATGAACAGCAGTCGATCTGCGCACGCAAGGAGGTGCTATTCCTATTCTTCTTCTGGAAAAACGAAAGAGAGCTTCAAAACAGACTGCAGCGCCATCTGAAGCAAAGAGCATACTTCCTGCGGACACTTTTTAGGCTGAGTGGCCCATCTTGTCTTGTACTATCTTTGGTTATACTCTCCATATTTTCAAAGGTGCGGAAACAGTGCGCACGATTAGTGAACGGAAACCTCACCTGTTTACAATGGTGTCTTAGAAGAAAAACTTTCCCAAGAATAGATCTAAACGAAACTAATGATAAACTGAAAATTAAACAACAGTGACTTCAGGCTCCTCAATAAAACTGTGCACCCTTTAAATGATTCTGAACCACCATTCATTTTGTCAAATTCGAAAGTTAAGTTGTTTGGAAGCTTTAGGCGGCAAAAGTGAGGACTTTCACAAATATAATATATAGAGATGCTTCCATTTGTTTGTTTTTTTGCCTTGTTTCTTTGATCAAAATAATCACTTCCCACTTTTCCCCTTGCATTTTTTTTCTGTATTATAATGACACTGTCCAGAACTAGCACAAGTCTGAGACAAATAAACTGTTCTCCTCCACAGTAACTCAAAGTGGCCTTCTTGGACAATTTTGACTGTTGTAAGATTCCATCATAATTGTGGAAGATGAGACAATTTCCTCAAAATTCCCTTCCTAGCATTTGGTCACCCTTTTGTTTCAATAAACAAGGCTGTGCAATAGTTACCTATTTCGATGGACTATATGTTTGTCTAGAACCTGGTTTCATATGTACAATGGTAAGAAGTCGGTATGCAAATTTGATCAGTTCAGTAGTACTCACCAAGATTTTAACAAAATGAGAGAGGTTCGAATTTTGTCTTAAAAAAACTCATCAATCCTAAATGTATGTGGTAGATTTCCATTTCTTTTAGAAATTTTTGTTTTCTCCTGAAATTGAATAGTTTAAGTCTTCTGCTAGCCGTCTGGAATGATTTTTCTTTTACCCTTTTTTATGTGTTCCCCATTTTTTCCTGGTTTGTTTTCATTTCACTCACCTCCAGCCCTTGTGTGTCCCATTTATCTTTCAGCCACCTCCCCTTCATCTAAAACCCGACGCCCTGTGTCCCGTGGAGGCGTTTTGTCCTCCCATTCCTTCACCATGCACTCCTCCTCTTCCACCACCTCCCCGGCCTCTCAACGCCCCCTTTACCTGAAACAAGACCAGACCTTTCTCCCCCGTTCCGAGCGCGGCCTTCCCTTTCGCCCGACTCTAATGCGACGCAGCACTTTCTCCTCCCCTGACATGATGGGCCTTCTCTCAGAGCCGGGCAAGGACAATTCCGCGTCAACCGGTGACCGCCAGGGAGATAACGAGTCGTCAGGGTCTAACTGGGTCACTTCTCCCCATCGGTCTAGCTCAGAAAGCGGTTCGCGACCCTCTCGTCTTGGGAGCATCTTCACACGCAGACACAAGATGATCTACGCTTCTGTCACACAGTCTGACTTGTTAGAGCGGTTCCGGAAGCTTCTTGTTGTGGCTTCCGACTTGGCTGTGATGTATCGTAAGTTGACACAAAGTTGCGCCTTTTCTGTTATCCATATAACGAAGGTGTTTGCTGAGCTGTAGATTGTTGTACGCGCATTTCGTTATCTTTCTGTTGTATCTGCTGCCTGTCATCATTGGCAGTGTTTTAATTGAAAAGAACACTTATTTTTAAAGCTGGAATTCTTTATAGCCTCTTGGCACGATAGGAGTCCTATCTTTTACTTACTGTATCAAAAACGACTTAAAATTCAGCTCTCTTAACCATTATAGCTCTGACCTTCTAATGCTACCATAATCTCCTTAGATTTACACCCATACTTGATGAAATGGGTTGATTTTTCACCAAACTGCTTGCACACAACTTTCACATAGTTATAGAAATATTGGCACGGTCTTAGTCAAAATTAATGTAGTACAGCTGTTTTGATTGTCCAATAAATACTGTCTTAAAACATCCGTCAATGTGATGCAGTCTCGCTTGTCAGTATACTGGTAGTTATGTGCTCAAGCAATGTTACTCGCCACAGGTGTAGTGATGATCGGGGCATAAGGGGCTATGTTTTAGTATTTCTGTCTTATGATGAGGTACATTTTTCTGTGGCATTCAGATTTTTTCACACTAAGAGATCAAAATCAAACAAAACATGAACAAAGCCTTCTCTTCCGTTTATTTGATGATGGAAAAGGAAATATTTTGGGTAGACTTATGTCTTGATCTTGATAGAGTCATGTGTTTATAAGACTTTGAACGAAAGGTATAGTTATCAGTGTTTTTAGATCAGTGGTCTTTGTGCATCTGGTTCCGTGCTATGTTGAATGTGGTTCAGGTTTTTGTTTCTGAACTGACTCCATATGCTGTCCAACAGTTATTTTAAATTTGAATATTTGTTTGTACTTGATTTTAATCCTTCCACAGCACGGGATGAGATGATGCGTCCTGTGGAACAGAGAACTTTGAACTTCTTTGCAGAACCCAAGACACCCATCTTAGAAGATCGCTACCTGAAGCACTTGTTTATCAACGTCTTTAGATTCTATGAGTATAGCCTGGTAAGATTTCGAGTTTGTATTTTTCAGTTTATCTTTTTTAAAAAATCCTTTATTAGAATGATCTTGATGTTACATGTTTCTATTTTGTGTTGCTGCATTTTTCCTGGCCCTGTTTTGCATAGCTAGATTGACTTTATTTTATTTGACAAAAGTTTCACTTTCATAAAAGTATGAGATAATAATATGTATAATAGAAGTGTGTTGGAAGCTAAGGAATGCAATTTTATCCTCTTATCTTTCCAAACGTTTTCCAATCCCTTTTTTCAATCTCTAGTATCAAATGTGTTTACCTCTCTTTCTTCTTCTCTTCTCACCATTGATTTGGCAGTGAGTACAGAGTTCCAGGGTTTTTAATCGCAATCATAGTTGCCAACCAATGCATAAAAATGTATTTGGTATGTTTTTGAGAGTTTGAGTACCAAAGTACATTGCTCCTTTTACTTTTTGATTGGCCAATAAATACTGTCTTAAAACATCCGTCAATGTGATGCAGTCTCGCTTGTCAGTATACTGGTGGTTATGTGCTCAAGCAATGTTACTCGCCACAGGTGTAGTGTGATCGGGGCATAAGGGGCTATGATTTAGTATTTCTGTCTTATGATTAGATACATTTTTCTGTGGCATTCAAATTTTTTCACACTATTGCTCCTCACGGACTTGCTAATGCTGAAGAAAAATGAACTCTCACAATAGGTTTTCTGAATAATTATAATAAGAAGAACGAAGTCCATGAGTCAATTGGAAAGGACTTTACTAACATTTCTGACTTTATTGTTGCAGGTCTGCTTGGAATAGTTTGAATTTATTTTATTCAGTAAAATGTGTGTAAAGGGTATGAAGGGGAGGGGGAATGGGTTTTTTTGTTGTCTAATGCCCATCTTGATCTTCTATGTTTGTAGAGAGTCCATTTTTTTTTTTTTTTTTTAAAGTTGGCAACTATGCATTATCAACGCTGCCAGGACTTGAACTTCCACTGATCCAGTCTCTGTACCTATATCCTCCCCATAGAACAAAGATGTGTACAACAAAAAGAACAGGAACCCCATCATGCATGGTGCCAAGGACGTCCTCCGATTCCAGTTCACTCGTCTGTTCTTGTGTATGATGTCGCTCAAAGTGGACTTTGACATGCGTGCCTACACTCTGGCTTTTGTCATGGCGGAACCTCGAGGCACTGATGCTATCAAGGCTGCCATCTCAGACAAACAAGTGGTGAGTCCGTACTGGGGGGCTGTGGGGTAGGTAGCAATATTTGTAGGTAGGGAGCCAGATAGGCAGGCAGGTAGGTTTTTTTATTCAGTGCACAAGGACATTGACCCACATGACATAAAGCATACATACTTTACAGAAGAGGCTTCCATAAAACAACTTAAATTATGAAAGCAACACATTCCAGTAACAGTTTGAAAATGTTTTGTATTGTTGAATAATGTTTTCATAATAAAATAATGTGGGTTGTACTTTTAATTTTTTTTGTGGGTTGTAGATTTTCATCATTAGGTTGTGTTAGGAAGAGAGAAATGGATAATTATCTTTGATATTCAATGCTCGAACGATAAAAAATTGAAGCAAAATTCGTCTTCAATTTCATGGGATTTGTAGGTAAATGCTTTAGAAAGAAAGGATGGGAGTTCGGAATGTGTTTCCCTTTGTTCTCTGGTTGCCCCGACAGGTTGCTCATATGACCTTACGCAGTTGCGAACGCCGTAAAACCTTTCTAAAACAAAAACAAACAAAAGGCAGAGTTAAAACAGCCTGTTTCTTATGTCATTATCTTATTGATGCTGAAATGTTAAATTTTACCTCGCTTGACCTGTCTACTCCTCTTTCCTTATTTTGTTTAGGGTCAGGAGCTGAGTTTCTATCTGCACAATTTGCTCTCCTGTTGGAAGGACTGGCTCAATTCTGCACAGCGAGAGAACGGTTTTTCGCTCATGCAGATCTTGCGTCGGGCAGGCTTCAGTGTCAACTCACCCGACAAAATGCTGACTCAGCCACAGGTCAACGCCCAAGTGGATGTGAGTTTGGGAGTTAAATTCTGCTTCAACTGTCAAGTGGGGGTTTTTTTGGGGGGAGGGGGGGGGGGGAGGGGTTCTTTTATCTTTGCCAGTATTCTTCAGATTTCCTAATGATGTTGTTGTTGTTGTTATCGATCCAGCAACATCTGGGCTCTTCCTAATGATAAAGTTCTGCTCTGTTCCATAACAGCTGATATATGTGAATAATTGTGCTGGATTGGTCTTCATTTTATATCCTGTGATGATCATACATGTTGCCAATTAGTCCAGTGTGAGTCTAAAATGTTGGTTGCTTTGAGTTCAAAGAAATTACGAATGTCGTCTTGAATCTCTACCTATTTGCCTTTGGTGTTTCTCATTGTCTACCTCATTGTGTTTCAGGAGAAAAAGCAGATTGATGCACGGTACAGAAAAGATCTCTTGCTGTGGTTGCAAAAGCGGGAAGCAGGAACTTCAAGGTTTGTATTCATAAATTTGGTTTACATGTTTTCTTTTGTTTCAACAAGACTTTTAATTTCATGTTGCTAGAAGGAACAGAGTTTGCATGGGATTTGGGGACATAAGCATGAGGTTTTCTTTAGCTGTTATTATTGTGGCTTTTGACTTTACCTTCTATTTTGAGTATATGGTAAAACTAAAACATATTTGACAATACCAAGTGATCACTTTAAAAACTTAAGTGGATTTGACTTGTTTAACACTCGCAAAAGAGAAAGTGCATGGGTTGTAGCAGGCATACGTATGGCAGTGGTTTGTTTATGTAAGACAGTTTTAGGGAGTGTGGCAAGAGTTTGTGGGGATGGAGCAAGTTTGTAAAAGATAGTTAACTAATTTTGTGGGCTTGTTGTGAAATAACATGTAAGGGTGTATGGTAGGAGTATGAAGGCGGTATAAACTTCATGGATGAATGTCTGAACTCAAATGCATGGATGGTAATATTTACTTCCCCATGGATTGTCTCTGTCATCTTTTTTTTTGGCCTTTCCTTTAGCGGGTGTCTGGAGGGCACTCTGGTAGGTCCTACTTCTTTTCTTTCCGTCTGTTGGTTCTGTCTGTTTGTCTTGCTCTTTTGCTGCCTTAAATGACAGTTGTCATATTGATGTGCTTTTTATTACTCAAAACAAACAAACAAACAAACAAACAAACAAACCCCTTTCTACATTTTGGAGCATCTAGGAAATGATGTATTTGCGTTAAAGAGAGTTTCAAACTCTACTGAAACTAATCAAAACTATGCAGTTGTGAGCACTGTAAAACTTTTACCAAACTAAACTAAAACTCCTACAAAAACTAAACAAAAATAACTGCTGTGTGTGTACAGGATCACTCAGAAGTTTGATGGTGTGCTGCGGCGAGTGACAGAGCAGGCCATGGCAGTGACACAGGACATGACGCGCCTGCAGGGGGAGGAGAGACACAAACTGGTGACCCACCTCAAGCAGGCCATGACAGCTCAGATACAACTGAAGAAGCAGTGGCAGACTCTGGTGCAGGATCTCACACACGAGAGGTGAGTGGACTCACCTTACTTTACTTTTCTGATATTGTAACCATTTGAGTCCTGCCCCGTGGTTGGTTGGCGGATGCTCTGATGTGGTTTGTGCCATCTCTCCTATCAAACATGTATCGCCCTTATCTGTCCTTCATTTTTTTGTGTGTGTTTGTTACTTTCTTTTAACATGAATCTTCAGCATTTATATGACTTTATTGTATTGCGAGTACTCTGAAACTCTCACTAACACAAAAATTGGCTCCACTCTTGGACTTGATGCCATGACATGAGGAAGGGATGTCTTTCTGAGTTGCTCAGGGTAAGAATACACGGCATTTCCAATATTTGGTGTTGCTGGCTGTAGATCTTTTCAGAAATCATGCAGGGCTGGGCACTTGAAATGTTAATGGACAGGATGGGGTGAACTGTTATCTCTTTTAGACTGCATTCCTTTCTTTTAGCTGGGGGCACTCAATGCGTTGTACTCTTCATTACTCGGGTAGGATAATAATATATGTCATGACGCAGTGGAATAAAGCGCCTGTTGGTTTTTGGGCAGGTGGAGTTACTGGTATCATCAGAAAGCTTATTCATTTGCCTTGTTTTCTATGAAAAGAAAACACCTATTGGTCTTGAATAGAAGTGGAGATGTTTGCAATTGAAGGAAGTGGGGATAGCCTGGTTTCAGAGGTAAGATTAGTGAGAAAATGGCCGCTAAAGTTTGGTAACATCTGTGGCATGAGAATCTTTGAAAACTGAAAGTTTATGAGTGCCTGGCAAGGTCAAAGCAGCCCAGCCCTTCTGATGGATCTAAACTGTGTTGATACATGATGGGGGTCTAAAACATCTACAAATATAATTATTCCTCTCTTTGCATCCTCAGAGCTGTGTGGTACAGTCCAGCCTCCTACCCCCAGTCATGGCAGCTTGACCCCACAGAAGGTCCGGGCCGGGTGAGAAAGAGGCTGCAGCGTTGCCATCTGGGCATTGAGAGACGCTTTCTACTTGATCAGCACCAGCTCAAACTGGGTGAGTTAATCCTTGGATTCTTATGAGTTTTGGTAAAAGTCTGCTTGAGCCCTCATTTTGGAACTTACACGACCTATTTCACATATCCGGGGGTCTCCACTCTCTTGACTTGCGGTTATGTCATGCATGAAATACGCTTTTAACTTTTAATATTAAGATTTTTAAAACTCCCAAGCATGATGGAATATGTATTAAGGTATTTACACATTCTATATAACACCGAAAGTATCTCTCTATTTTTCCCCTGGTAAGGGATTTTTCAAAATGTGTTTTTATTGTGCAGTTTTTCTACACTTTTGTTTCAAAAGAAGAACAGTGGATATTGCACGGATCTAAATTATGTATTGTCACATCATATCAACTGGTCACCCTCTTCTTTCACATTTTTTGACAATGTTCAATTCGCCCCTCAGACGCAGAGTCTGTGGACCCGCCTTTGATTTTCCTGTTTGAGGATGACCACCAGATGTCAGACTCCGCTGCCCTCATCTATCGTCTGTATACGAATGAGAAAATACAGTGAGTTCAGTTGGAACTAAGCTAGGGAAGAAGGGAAAAAATTGGCGCTCATATGACCTTATGCAGTTGCGAGCGCCGTAAAACCTCTACTAAAACTAAAAAGGGAAAAAACAAAGTTTACACTGACTGAGGGGAATGTTGAAATGAGTGCATGGTTCTCAGGAATGAAATTGTGTGCATGGTAGTTTTCAGATGTAATTTTTGCTTCATTTTGGTCCTGACAGAGAGAAATACAGAGTTGAAAGGTATGGGTTCGGAGCAGAGTGAGGTGTGCTGAGAAGAAAACAGTAGGGAAAATGAAGGGGGTTTGTGAGGCAGAAATGTTGGAATTTCTGAGGGTAAAAATGTCGCTAAATATTTTTGCCTTGGCAAGGTGTATAATGGAAATATGACAAAATTTTTAAAAATTATTTTCATAAGAAGGCGTATATTGCTGCCTGAAAAATGAGGTAGGAACCAGCAGTTCTAGCACGAAAGACTGGCAGTATACATTAAATTTAGTTTCACTGTAGGTTGACAAATCCGCAAATGATTTTTCTAAAGACTGTGTCTGGGAATGGAGAAGAAAAAGTAATAAACAGATAACGAGCTAGCTTTTATATGTATATTCTGATATATCCCTCATCCTTCTCCTCAGACATACGTGTCGGTGCACAGCCGTGTATCCTGCCAGTGAGAGCAAAGGGGAACTGCTTGTTGGTATGAAGCAATTCTTTTTATTTAAAATGTGCCCCGAGTCCTGTATTGTTTTTGCTTTTTGTTTCTTTTTTTTTAAAAGATTAAAACTGCAATTTGCTTTGGAAATTGTTAATGGCGTAACCCTGTTGTCTTTTATGAAATAAGGCTTAATACTTCTCATAGAGTAAAATATCTGAATTGATTAATTTTGTTTTATAGTTTTACATTGTTTGAAAGAGTCTTAGTATTCTCATTTCAAAGCCATCGTTATCATATAATGTGCTCATACAACTATTTACTAAGGCTTTCTCTGTCATGGGGAGGTCTTCGTAAAAAAAAAAAAAAGAATCATGACTCTTTTGTCTACCAAACTCATGATCAAATTGCAGGTCCTGCCTTTAAATTCAGTGTTGTACTTGTACCATGTCATAACCGCCTTGTGTGTGTTTTCCAGGTGAGGTGTGTATCTTCTTTGTGGCTGATGGTGCCATCTCAGGGGCAAACTACACCCAGGTACGAGAGCTTCCTTTTCACACTTAATTTGTTCTATAGGGGCCTTCTAGCTTCAAAATTAATTATATGAAATTCTTAAGAATATGCTATGAGAAGAGATCATCATTCGATAGTTTCCAGTGCTTTTGTGGCATCACAGCCCAGTTAGTATGAATTTATGTCCTGTTGTGAGGCTTTTGCCTGCTCACAGGTCCTCTCTTCCCTGAAGATTCATCAAACTAATTGAATGTAAGACAGACACAGACTGTATAATCAGTACTAATGAGGGCATTAGTTGTCTTTCTCTCGCAATGAGTTGATGTACTTTGTTCTTTTATCGTTTAGACACAAGAAAATAGTGAAAAAAACGTGGGTTTGATACTTTAGTACTCTAGATAATACTTTTTCTTTTATTGTCTGTCCATTCTGACTTTTGAGATATGGGCATTGTTTCCATGGCCCTTTCTTCTCTTACTGACCTCTGTAGTGTTGAGAGTGGCTTAAGACTCGTGCCTACTCAGAATCACAGACTTCTGCCCTTTTTCTCCCTGTTGTCACCAGATGTTGCTAGGCAACCTGGACCAGTTGTCCATCACGTGGCCACATACTGACATCCGAGAGTTGCACAAGCGCTGGTACCAGCTGCAGGACGTCGGGCTGGAGATCTTCCTCATCAGTGGACGCACCTGTCTCCTTGCCTTCCAGTCCACAAATGTGAGTTGTACAGATAATAATAGTGATAAACATCATTTGTATAGTGTATATCCCTGCTTGAAAGCAAGCTCTATGTGCTTTGCACTATACACTACAGCGGGATAGCCTTCACCAGGGGTCTCAAACTCGCAGCCCATGGATCAGTTGAGACTTACAAGTGTATATCTATGTGTATTCAAACATGCCTGCTAGAGTGGATGTATAATAACTCTTTATCTCGGAGGGGAGTAAACCCACTACGCCGGGCCATTTTTTAGTGCTTAATCTAAAAATGACAAATAAGCCATTAAATGGGTCATTAAATCGAAACAAGTGAACCTGTTTTGATAGTTCTTCGTCTAATGAATGAAATTCCGGTAAAAGAGACCTGTATTGGCAAAAATTAATTTGATGCCAAAGTCATCTCTGCTCACCGGCTCAGCTGTCGCTGGGAGCCGCTTGCCGGAGATAAGGAGTTAATATACGATATAATAACAGATGCTGGTGAAAGCACATTGTTACTTTCGTCTAGAGAAAGATAAATGACGCACATCTGATTTTGCTTGGTCGTTTCTCGACAGGACCGAGACGAGCTGTACACTATTTTGCGCAGTTCCCTAGAGTTGCCAAACCTGATAGCGGGGGAGTCACTGCAGTCGGTGCAGAAGGCTTGGCTGGACGGGGAGGTGACCAACTACGATTACCTCATGCACCTGAACAAGCTGGCAGGCAGGAGCTACACAGACCTCATGCAGTACCCCGTGTTTCCCTTTGTGCTGCGTGACTACCACAGCAATGTTCTCAATCTGAAGGACACGAGTGTCTACAGGTGTGTATTTGGGAATTTGTGCTCTTGAACTTCTACAGGTGTGTATGTGAGTGGGTGGTGGATGCTCTGGTGTGGTTTGCACCTTTTTTCCTATCAGCATCTATCGACTTTATCTCTCATCCTTTTTTTGATTGTTTCTCCCTTGTAACACCTCTGATTTTCAACACTTCTATGATTTGATTGTGTTGCAAGTGCTGTAAAGCTCTCACTTAACGAAACTAAAACAGGTGTGTATTTAGGTGTTTGTTGTCTTGAGTATCTGTAGGTGTGTATTTGGATTTTTGTGCACCTGAACTCCAGAATGTGTTTTCATGCATTTGAACATCTGCAGATATTTGTTTTGATAATAGTACACATGAGCTCCAGGTGTGTATTTGTGGTTTTAGACATAAGAACATCTGTAGGTTTGTATTTGTGTTTTTGTAAATGTTTGAGACCTTGTCTAACACAATGCCTCAACATCTTTTAACTGTATTTTAAAAATGCCTTCTCCAAATTGTATGCTTCTAAATACCCAAAAAAAATTTTTAGCTCTCATTTCAAATTGTTTATTGTGCAAAGTTATTGAGCAGAGAAAGTGATGTTATTATGACAACTTTCTCCTATATTTCAGTGTTCTCTGTTTTTAAGTTGGAGATCACAATTTTTATCTTAATGTTTTCCATTAAACCACTATGTGAAATGCTTTTTCATCCAGAGACAGAAAATGTAAATTAAAATATTCTTGAGGATTGCGCGTGTGGTCATATTCCCTTTCTTGGCTTACAAACACTAGGAAAAAAACCCAACTTGAATTGCTGCCTTTGTAAATGCAGTAAGTAGACATTCAATCAAAAGTTGTAGTATGTTCACCTTTCGGTTATTGAAAAGAAGCTTTGTGCCAGTTAATGTGTTTCCTTTTATAGACAGTTGGAAGCTGTCTGAACTATGTCATATACATTTATATTTATTATTCTGAGATTATTTTGGACTTTGATGCCATGAAATGAAAACGATTTCTCAGATGAAAATCAAGCCTAGTAGTCACATTTTAAAAATATATTCTGTTTCAAGGAATCTTAAGCGCCCAATTGCTGTACAAGATAGGACCAGGGAGGCAAGATACAAAGACAATTATGAGGTAAGTGTTGGTGAAAATGTGGGCCTTTAGAGGATGTGATAGTTTTATTTTTTCTTTGACTGAGTCAATATTGCTACCTCACCACCCTGCCAGTTTGGGTAGTAGGAGGATGTCAATAGTACCTCATACTTTTTTTTACTGCCCTGTCTATCTATCTGTCAGTCTGTATCTATATCTACCTATCTGATCATTTTCTAGTTGATGCACTTCTGTTTATCTGTAACAAGAATCCCTATGTATACATAAGGGTTGATTTGAAGAAGTAAAAATATTTGCATTTTACTCAATTTTGGCCTGAAATTTCAAATTAAGGCTTGATATTTTTCGAACATGTTGACTGATTTTCTTCATACTTACAAAATCTGATGCCACCTCGGTTGAATTTTCTTTTCTTCAGTTCCTGTGTCAGGAGGCGAGGGAGCCTGATGCAGAGAACCAGATGCTGCAGCCCACTCCCTTCCATTACGGCAGTCATTACTCCAACAGTGGAACAGTGCTGCACTATCTGGTCAGACTGCCACCGTTCACTCGCATGTTCCTTTCTTACCAAGGTTAGTTATGGAAGGGGGTGGGTGGTTGGCGGGTGCTCTAGTGCTGTTTGCTCCTTCATTCTTATCAAAGATCTGTCGTCTTTATCTCTCCTCCTTCTTTTTTTGTGATTGTTACTCTCTTGTAACTCCTCTACTCCTCTAATCTTTGGCACTTATACAACCAAATTATACTGCAAGTGCCTTATAACTCATAGTAACGCTAATCTAAAAACTGGTTTGCTGTTGTAATCAGAAAGCTAATGACACAAAGAAAGTCAAGCTGTGTCTGTTGAGGTTTTCAATGGACAAAAAATTCTCCCCTACCCCCTCTAGAGCACCGTGTCTTCAGGTAGATGTGTTCAGATGAACCAGTGTTCTTGGATTTTTGTTTTGTCTTGTTTTGGGGTTTGTTTGATCTGTTGTTGTTGTTGTTTTATTTTTTTGTGGTTATTTTTTGGGGGGGTAACAATTTTTATTGTAACCAGATGTACATGCATTCTGCGAAAACAACTTATTTGTTTTCAGTGATTTTAAAATTGTTTTATTGGACTCATTTTGTGCAAACTGACATGTTGAAATTGATGTAGTCTTTTCCTTGGCATTTGGCCAATATAAAATAATTCAGTATTTTTCTTGGCAATCGACATGTTGAAATTATTTGGTCGCTTTTAAGCATAAGGGGGCTATCATGAAAAATGTTGTTTTGAGAAAATCGAAGGTAAAGTTTTTGTCCCTTGTTCAGTTTCTTTAAAAGACAAGGAGAGTTTTCTCTATAACCAAACAGATATACACACCAATGAAACCAAACTTCCCCTATAGGTAGGGCAATGCCCACTTCTGGTGTAGGTCAAGATTTCTGGAAACCCCCCGAAATCTGGGTTAGCCCACTTGTCCTTAAAAGCGACCAATTCACTAATATTGTCCCCCAAATTCCTTCATGGTGCGCTTCGGAATATCCCTTTCTTGTTTGTCACTAAATAGTTTGTGACTACGTGGGACATAAGTATTATTTTTTGTTAAGATAAAAGTCCAGGTACAGTCCACAGTTTAAGGGTAAAAGTAATAAGTGTCTGGAAACCCTGACAAGTATTTCTTTCTTCCATTTTATTCTCGTGGATCCATTTTCCTCAGACCGGAATTTTGACATTCCTGACCGCACGTTTCACCACTTGGCGACTTCCTGGCGACTGTCTAGTTATGAGTCCAGCACCGACGTCAAGGAGTTGATCCCAGAGTTCTTCTTCCTACCAGAGTTCTTCAAAAACGCCGAAGGTATGAAGTGAAATTGATTTCATTTGTAACTCCTTCTTTTTTCTTTTGGTTTCTTATCATTTTGAGAGCTATGTTCTCTTTGCCTTATTGTGAATTTATGAGAAAAAATGATTGATTCCCCCCGGGGCGGTGCCACGGACTGAAGTGTCTTTAGGCCATTCCCAAAAGGAGGGGGGAGATTTCACCTTCTAATGCACAGTAGAATTGTAAATGGGCTGACCCAACAATGTTATGCTCATAACTGTGCCTTAACTACAACAGGAAACTGCTGCTTTTTCTTTCCTAATCCTTAGGCCTACTATTGTCATTTTCCTCTACTTCTTTTGTATGTTTGTCACCCTCTTGTGACCCGCTCTTTCCGGGGTGCCTTGATAGTCAAAGCAGACTTTGTGCTCTTGAAGCTAGAGAGGTGAGCAGAGTAAGTCTGATTCCGTTAGGACTTCTCTGTTGACATCCACCCCTTGCCGCTCATATGACCTTATTCAGTTGCGAGCGCCGTAAAACCTCTACTGAAACAAAAGAAATAATTAATTGCTCAATTGGTATAGTGCTTGACTAGGGTGTGGATGACTCTGGACTGGGTCCCTATCAAGGTGTTTATGTTCTAGGGTTGTCAAGGTTCTCTCCCCTTTTGTTGGGTTCTGATGTAGTTGTCAAGGTTCGCAAGCCTTATGGTTTGGTCTTATCCAAAATATGTCTGTAAAGTTACCTGGCGGTCTGATGAGTCGGGTCTGTCATTGGGCCCCCCGTCTAGGATAGATTTTGCCTTGTCGTGGTCCTGTGACTGCCTGAATCTCTCTGTCTCTCAGACGACGTCGCCCAATTTCCCGCTGCTCAATGTGACGTCATCCAAGGGCGTGCTACTCCCTTAATTATCTTGTCCCCATAGTAATGATAAGAGTCATGTCCCTTGACATCCATATGTCAAATGGGAGGTCATCTTACTTGAATGACCTCAGTATTGAACAGGGTACTAAACTCATATCATATCTCTATAATAAAATGATTCTGGGCCTGCTGCTGAAAATGAAGGTTAGATTTTCTGTTCATTTTTACAATAGAAGATAGAAGAAGTAAAATGTATTAGCCCAAAAACAGGTTAGGAGCCAGGGAGCAAAAAGAGTAAGATTAGAGATTTTGTGAGATTTTCCTTTCCATTTTTATCAGATTTTCTTCTGTGACCCCTGACAATGACTTCAGGTGGATCATAAAAAAGCAACTCATTTCGCCTTCACTTCCTCTCATGTCATAGTAAAATATTGTTCTAAAATTAAATACCAACTTCCTTCAACCTGTATTTTTTACGGTCTGTTTTATATCTATTTATTTGTTTATTTATTTATTTATTTATTCTTTTAATTTTTAAAAACATGGTTTTTTTTGGTTCACAGGCTTTGACTTTGGCTACCGTCAGAATGGAGAACCAGTGGACGATGTTCACTTACCACCATGGGCTGGAGGCGACCCTCGACTCTTTGTCCTCATTCACAGGCAGGCTTTGGAGTCCGAGTTTGTGACCTTTCACCTCTCAAACTGGATTGACCTAGTTTTTGGCTACAAGCAGCAAGGAGAGGAGGCTGTCAAGGCCATCAATGTGTTCCACCCCTCGGTGAGAGAAGTGGGCGGGACTCTGACTTTTAGAGCCTGTCAACATAACTGTTTTAATTGTGGGAGTGTTATGGTAAATGACAAGAAAGCACCTTTTGTTAACTCAATATTAGATAGGAGGGTTATTTTTATGGATTTCTGAGCTACTTTTGATGCAGGATACAAATTTTTAATGCAAAAGCTGATGATAATAGTTGTAACGAAGACTACTCTTCTTGAGTGTTTTGTTTTTCTTTCTATTCATTTGTTACCAAGCAGTGCTTTCTTTTTGTTTTTTTCTGCCAACTTTCATGTTTGCCACAATACAAACATTGGGAAGGGGATTCATATCTCAGCTGGAAGTTATGGTTTTCATTAAAGGTGTCACGGTGCTGTGGAATCAGGTGCTCGTCAATTTTTTGGCCTGTCGAGTTATTGAAATCATCTGAAAGCTGATTTATTTGCCTTGCTTTAAAGGAAATAAATATATATTTATTTTGAAAAGAACTCAAGACATTTGCAATTGAAGGAGGTGAGGTCGTCATTTTTCAGTTTTGAAATTAGCGATACAATGGCCGCCAAAGTTTGATAACTCCAATAGCTAACGAGTATTTGAAAACTGAAAAATGACACATTTTGTGCATTTAATCAATGTTTTTCAGTAAAATTCACGTGGAAATATGTTTTTATATGGACGTACAAGAGGTTAAGCCAAAAAATATACAATTGATACAAATTTCCAAACTGGTAGAAAAATGCCTGTTTCTCCGATTTCGTTTCTTTGAAAAGCGCCTGATTTCTCCACACTGCCTCACAAAACTGATGAAACTGTGGGTTCCAACTCACAGTTTCAATCATCAGCTGACAAAAAAAATATATCTATTACCATCAATAAAACTTAAAACAATGGGTGAAAGGGCATTTATTTGTGTATCAGTGCATCAAGAACCTTGCAGTTTAAGAGAGATCAAATATTTTTATTCTTTCGAATGTCAGTTAAAGTCATTTCTGCTTTTGTAATTAATGAAGGGAGATTTTAGTCAGAGCACAATGTACTCTTTATGTGTTACTGATGTATTGTAAAGCCCTTACAGCTTATGTTCTTTAAATAGGGTTGAGCGCTATATAAATGCCATATATCATGGTTATTATTCTCTTGTTTTCTGCAGACATATTTTGGTGTTGATGCCAGCACTGTGAAGGAGCCTCTGAAGAGGCAAGCACTGTTGACCATGATCCGCACTTACGGTCAGACTCCAAAGCAACTGTTCCGCACTGCTCCTCACCCCCGCTGCCAACTGCGCTTCCCTTCCACAGATGCCCATGTGGTAAGTTATAAATTACAGCTGGAGCTTTTTTTTTTTGCTTTTTTTTTTCGGATGTGCTTTCTTCAGTTTATAAAATAAGATCTTATGTTGTCAGTTGGGTTGCAGGCTCTGTCTTTTAAGGAATTAATGTGTCTAGGAAAGGTACTTTTACATATTTTTCTTAGTTCAGCCAACATAAATATGTTCTTGACAATCAGTGGAAGTGAAATATGCAAGAGAAAGGGGTATGTGCTGCAGTGCTATGTGTCTACCAAAGAACGGAAATAGTTGTGAACTCATTTATTCATCTTGGGTGTTTTTCAACCTTTTAATAATTAACATTTTATTTTGAAATTGTTTTTAATGTGTCAAACAGAGCAGAAGTATGGTCTTCATTATAACTGTTTTAGGTGCATGCAGATTATTTTTTATATCTCTCTTTTAAGTTTTCATTTATATTTCTGTGGGTGGTTGGCGGGTGCTCTGGTGTGGTTTGCTTCTTCTTTCCTGTCAAACATCTGTCATCCTTATCTCCCCTTCTTCTTTTTTTATGTTTGTTTCTCTCTTGTAACACCTCTAATCTTCTGACCCTCATATGACCTTATACAGTTGCGAGTGCCGTAAAAGCTCTACTAAAAACATTTATATTTCTCCTCCCCCTCCTCAGCGACGCCCGGTTCCCAACGTGGTAGGCCTCCGCTGGGGTTTGTACGTGGGCTCCCCCGAGCTGCCCCCTCCCGTGTGCCACAGCCTGATGGACGTCTCCCCCGCCGTCATGGCCAAGCTGGTGGCTCTCCCCACAGGCTTGGTCTTTGGCGTGGAGAGGAACTGCAGCATCCTCCTGCTGCACGGGAAACAGAGAGGTGAGTCAGCCGGTTGATGGTGGGGGGGGGGAGATCGGGAGTAGAACACGTCAAGGTATATTTTTTTTTCCTCAGAGGAACTAAAGTTGGTGAGGGGGTGGGAGAGTATGTTAATTGTCACACTAAATGTAAACCGGAAATTTTTTAAAATTTTCAATGGCGTGGAGGTGGGGGTAGCGTTTCTCAGATTGTAGAAATATTCCATGTGGACAGAGGATGGAATGAGTTGTAAAGTTTTCTGTGACTATGGTTTACTTTGACTATTGGGCAGGTGGGGGTGGGGGTGGGGTGGAAGGTTAATATTCTCTTTGAAGAATTTAGAAATAAAATGTATTGGGTGAACATAGGGACAAAAGTACTTTCACAGCTTGAACCATTTAAAGCTGGCTTCCTGAAATGTGGTAATCCCATATCCTTAGACCCTGAGGTTAGGCGATCAGGAGGATGGTAAAGCCACAGTGTATTTAAATCTTTTAGCTGGTAAAGTGGTGTTCATAGAGGAGGGGGGGGGGAGGAAATGTGCTGCTCACTGACTGAATGACAGCCTGTCTGACTGAATGACTGCATGACAGACTGAATGTCTGACTTTGTGCTATTTTCCGCCAAGGACTGTCTCGTGCAACAAATGAGAATGATTCAGTTATTTTTGGTAAGTGTTTACTCTAATCAGATATTCATCAAGGTTTGAAAATACGGTTTCTTTTCAGTTTTGTGTCCTGCTTCAACTTGTTGAGTTTTTAGAGAAAATTTTCAAGAATAATATTTTTGCTGCATAATTATTGTGCTATCTATATTTATGCAGTTTGCATGAATTACCTCTTGAGCTTAGTAATCTCTCTACGTCAGACCATGATGCAATTCAGTTCAACTCTTCACTTACAGTAAAGCATGTTTGTTTATTTCAAGGGTTTATGGAACTGAATAATAAAGTAGCTGTTAAAGAAGAAGAAATTAAAATGTCTTTGGCAAGAGATAAGTCCAAGGACAGGACATATTTTAAACAAATGAATGACTCAAAAGTAATAAAATTGTAAATAAAAGTGAGACATTGTGGTGAAATCAGGCTCCCGTCCAAATAAGGAAATGGAAAAACCATTTTTTCCCCCTCCAGCTGTTTTTTTTTTTCAAATATTATTTTTCTCAGCACAGTGTATCTCCATTTCCAAACACATTTCTCTGTAGATTTTATTGTAAAACATTGATGAAAGACATAAAAATGAAAATTTGCAATTTTCAAGGGCACTCCTGCATTGGAAGTTTTCTCGTTAATTGTACCTCTGACACCAGATCACCCCACACCTCTTTCAATCACAAATATTTCAACTTCTATTCACGATAGATGGGTATTTTTTCATCAAAAGCAAGACAAATGAATAAGCTTTACGATTGTTCCAGTTACTTCATATAATCCCAAAAATTGAGGAGCGCCTGACTCCATCGCGCTGTGATACTTGAAGTCTAAGCAGGTGTTGAGGAACTGCATGGCGAAAACTCACATAATGATAAAATCCACACATGTACAGCCAAGAAAGATTTCCCACTGGGATAATGAAGTATCATCTTATCTTATCATCTTATCTTATCATCTTATCTTATCGTATCTGATCTTATAATATAAGAAGACAGTTGTGAATGAATGTGGAAACTGCGAACATTTAAATCTTCATGGTGATGTTACATAATGTTCAACAGATTGTTAGCTTTTGAAATTTTTTGTTGCTCTTCTCCTTTCTTTGTTTTTACATGCTTGACTTCTGTTGTAATCTACCAATGGCCATTTATTGTCTGCACTATGGGGCTTATGATGCATGATCCAGGAGTCAGGGATTATGTGTCATTGCAGGGGTTCCGGACCTAGATACCCACTCTGTTGCTTATTCTAGATTGTTTTCGATTTTTTGTCTATCTTTTTGAGCTTTAAAAAATGTTTTGGGGTGTGCTTTTTAAATTATTGTTTCATGATGAATCTTTATGACTTAAGTGACATTTTGAGAGTGGGTGGTTGGCGGGTGCTCTAGTGTGGTTTTCTTCTTCTTTCCTATGAAACATATATCGTCCTTATGTCCCCTTCTTCTTTTTTATGTTTGTTACTCTCTTGTAACACCTCTAATCTTCTGGCACTCATAAGACCTTATGCAGTTCCGAGCGCCGTAAAACCTCTACTAAAACTAAAACTAAATATGTTGAGAGTGATGCTGTAATGAATGTTGTTCCTTTGTTGATGAAAATTAAATTGGACAAAGAATGTACAGATAATTGATATATGTGAGGCAGCGTGGTGAAATCAGGCGCTCGTCAAAATAATAGAAGTAAAGAAACTTACACTTTTCTGCTGGTTTGACAATTTTTATCAAAATTATGTTTTTTAGTTCAACACCTTCTATATCCATTTAAGAACCCATTTCAGTGTGAATTATATTGAAAAATGTTGATTAAAGGCATAAAAAATATAAATTGTCAGTTTCCTCGGAATCTGAGGTTTTGTAAATAACCAAACATTTGCCGCCATTTTCTGACTAATTTTACCTCTGAAACCAGGCAACCCCAACTCATTCAATCACAAATGTCTTGACATGTACTCAAGATAAATGGGTAATTCTTTCATTGAAAGCAAGGCAAATGAATAAGTGATACCAATAACTTCACATCTCCAAAAATTGACAAGCGCCTGATTCCACCATGTCGTGACACATATTATACTTGCTGTAGAAAAGTTGATAGACTTATATAAAATCTTGAAATCTCGGAGTTATCTATAAATCAAGCCATGGGATGGGTGGTAGTCGGGTGTTCTGGTGTGGTTTGCACCTTCTTTCCTATCAAACACCTGTCATACGTAGCCTATCTCTCCTCCTTTTTGTGTGCGTTTTTTCCATTTCTTATCTTTGGCACTTATATGACCTAATTGTTTTGCGAGTAACATAAAACTTTTATTAAAAGATTGAAACAAACAGTCAGGTCATGAGTTTAGGAAATAAAGACACTTCTCACATGAAGGAGAAGCAAAGAAAACAAAACAACCTCTAATGATATAGACTAATGATGGGATAGCGATTCTCAGCACCAGAATTCTAATGTGGTAAGTTTTTAAAAAAATTCATTTTAGTATGGTATGTCCCTTTTTTTTCCTTTTGTTCTTTAGGCCCACTTGATAGATTGCTTTCTGTATAGTAAATTTACCATACAAAACTTAACCCAAAAACCCAATTGATAGATTGCTTTCTGTATAGTAAATTTACCAAACAAAACTTAACCCAAAAACCCAATTGTGCGTCTTACAATGTGCAATATTTGTTTAAGATCTCTCATGGGAAAAATCTAATGGGATTGATCTTGAAATGGTATCACAGTAGGATATCTGTACCGTCTACTGCTGTTCTTATATGCGTGTGTGTGTGTGTGCGTGCTTATGTAGCTTATAAGGCCTTTTTTACCCAGGGTTTACCGTGTCACTCATAAAATAGTTAGAGATTAGACAATAGAACCCAGGATTAAATATAGTTCAAATTGTCTAAGACAGCCACCCATTGTCAAGGAGTAAAATGGCTGTCTTAAACAGGTGGATGTTTCAAACTGAGTCCTTATAATGTAACAATGTGCACAGGAAGAAATGGGAAATGTCTGTGCAGGTCATTGTCTTACACAGGCAGCTGTCAGAGCAGGTTTGACTGTATTACGTATGTTCTGATGGAGTGTGGGGCAAGTGCTTTGCCTTCGGAATGGCTGGCCTTGTGTTCTGTGTGTGGCAACAAGCATACTTACAGTCGGACAGTGGGTGGTTGACAGGTGCTCTGGTATGTTTTGCCCCTTCTTTCCTATCGAACATCTATCGTCACTATCTCCTTCTTGATTTGTGTTTGTTACTCTCTTGTAACTCCTCTAACGTTCGACACTTATATAGTCTAATTGTGATGGAAATGTGGTAAAACTTTGAAATAATGAGACAGAAGTGTTATGTTGGACTGTTCCTCATTGAATTTTATGTGTCTCTTTCCTCCCTTTCCCCCCTCCCCCAGACATGGCTGTGCGCTCCACAGATGTGATGTGGGCTGGGGTGGTCACGTGGGGTTACCACGACGAGGTGATCCGTATTCGCAGCTACAGAGACAAGCCGCTCATCAACTTTCTGCCTCACCATTCTTTCGGAAAGGTAATCTCAAGAGTTATAATAGATTTTCTTTGGCGATGTGCATGATGAGATCAGTTTGGGTCAGGTCGATTAACCCTTACAATTTATAAGCAAAGTTTAATTTGAAATATTTAAATAATATGTAGCATTTTCGCAATGAAAATGATAAGTTTAAATCTACAGGCATAATACGTTTAGTACCCATCGAAATGTTCAGAAAAGAGTGAAGATTTGATGTATCAGGGTACAGTTGTTGTACAGGCAAGCAGATATTTCTAATGAATGAGGAAAACAAGAAAAAATAGTAGTTTAGCACCAAGTCAATAGATTTGCTGACTTCTAAGAGTTGATAGCAACGTCAGTGCATACTGTATCGAATTAACTCCATTTTGTTTCACGAACACAGAAGGCTCATATAGTAAAAACCCTTGCCCTCAAAGGCAAAGGCATTTTGGGGAAAGCCAAAGAAAGTGGGTGGTAAATATCTCCGATCGACGAGATGTGACGAAAAAGTGTTAAATCTAACCCAGAAGTTGACAAAAGCCTAAATACACCTTGCTCTAATTTAAAAACTGACTCCGCAATGCGCAATAGTCTTCTAACTGGTTGTTTTTATTCAATGCATTAAATGTATAGGATGCTGTTAAAGAAAATCAAAATGTTTGATTTTGGATGATTTTGATCAAATTATTCCAAAGTAATAGGTGTTCTTCCCCCACCCCGTCCCAAACTGGCCACTCTCATTTTTTTGTGTCACTGGTTGCTGTTTTGTCCCTGAACTTTGTGACCTTTGTCATCTACGTATCAAACTGAATCAGTGGAAGAACTGGGCTCAGCAGAAATGAGCTTTTATAATATTTCTAATCTCTCCTCTCGATGGTTAATCATATTTCTTTTCCTTTCTCCTCTTTTATTTCTGCTTAGCTGTCATATTATCTCTTGTCTTCACAAAGTGACCAGTATCTTGTCTGTGTGCCTCTCTGTACTCAGTGGGTGGGTGGCGGGTGCTCTGGTGCGGTTTGCTTCTTCTTTCTTATCAAACATCTCTCGTCCTTATCTCCCCTTCTTCTTTTTTATGTTTGTTACTCTCTTGTAACACCTCTAATCTTCTGGCACTCATATGACGTTATGCAGTTGCGATGGCCGTAAAACTTCTCATCATCATTGCCTTCTTCACCCTGCACCAGGGTATATAGGCCACGGACAAACACCTTCTGCCTTTCTCTATCCTGGGCTAGACTCTTGATGTTATTCCATGTCTTCCACTTTTCTGTACGTCGATTTCTGTGATTCTTCTCTAGGTTCCACGCGGTCTTCTCCTTGATCTCTTACCCTGTGGGTTCCAATCCAAAACTTTCTTTGTTATGCAGCTGCCTGACTTCATGAGAGTATGTCCAATCCATCGCCACTGCCTTCTTCCTACCTCATCTCTGACTGGGATCTGTCTTGTTTTTCTTTACACTTCCACATTGGTGACCCTGTCTATCCATCTGATCCTCAGTAACTTTCTTAGACACCTGTTCAAGAAAACCTGGATCCTCTTTATGCAAGTCTGTGATGTGTTCCATGTCTCACATCCATACAACAGGACCAACTTCACATTTGAATTGAAAATCCTCAGCTTTGTTCGAAGTGAGATATCTCTGGTCTTCCAAACCTATCCGAAGATATGAAAGCAGCCTGTGCTTCGTAAAACCTTCACTAAAACTAAAACTCTCTGTTCTCAAACGAATAAAATCTCTCCTCCCCAGATTTTGTGCGTGGAGTCGGTGCCAGACTGCCGTCTTCTCTTCACTGCCGGCACCGCAGGCGTCATCAACGCGTACAATATGACCCACAACTCCTCCAAGGTAAAAACACACTATAGTGACGTGTCTCATTTCTTCTTTGAATTTACAACCGACATCTGTGGTGTAGCAGTTATGTGTTTTTGCTGTCTGTCACTGGCAGGAGACCTGAGTTCAATTCCTGAGTGGGGAGAAAGTTTTACTAATTATCTAGGTCTTTCAGCTGCGATGTTATGTCCCTCTCAGCCGAAGCCCACATCCTAATTTCTTTGATTTCATTATTTTTTAAATTATTATTTTTATTATTATTATTCTATCATTTCATTGTTGTCTTTATTATAAATATTGATTTGCTAGGTTGTAAATATTTTTTGTTGTTATTATTATAATATTATTATTATCATTATTATTTTTATTATTAATACTAATATCATTTCGTTGTTATTATCTTTATTATTAGTATTGATTTTGCTATGATGTACATTTTGAAATGAGTAAAAAAAAAAGTGTTTTGATCCTAATGCGTGCCATTCTTAGATAACTTAAAAACTCGCCTGCCTGAATGTCCCTCCTAAAATCATGTAAGGAAAGCAGAAAAAAGACACCTCCCCCCCCCCCCCCCCCCCCCCGGGAAATTTTAATGGTGGCCACAAATGAAAACCCCCACCCCATACCACCCAATCTCTTAGGGGGAGGAGCACATCATTATTATTTGTAGTCAACTACTTGAACATCCTTCCAAGCAAAAACGCTTTGTAATATACACACTGTATTACTGTATTCAGATTTAGTTATATTGGATTGTTGGATGTCTTTTTTATCATCATTATTTCGTTTACTGCTTGGAATTACAATTTGTGAAAATATTTGTTTAAAAAACCAATTTTATGTAATTATCTGGAACATTTTTTGTGGGTTTTTCTTTTTACGCTTTATCAGTATTTAAGTATGCTTTTGTGTCCATCCTGCAATTAGCCAAGCAACCTTCAGGTGCGCGGGGTGAGGAAAACTCTGTACGGGCATTCCGGTGCTGTGACCTGTCTGTACGTGTGCCAGGCATTCAGTCTACTGGTGTCGGGCAGTCAGGACGGCACCATCATCTTGTGGGATTTGAATCGGTTAACCTACGTGCGCTCAATCTCCAGTCACTGTACTGAAGTGTCGACTCTGACTGTCAGTGACACGCTGGGAGATATTGCCAGTGTTAGTTATTCAGGTGAGAGTAAACAATTTTCTCCATATTGTGGCCGGAATATTTTAAGATAATAAATGCATTAAGAAGACAAAGATTCAAAATGATTTATTGATTTGAAAGGCCTTTGGCCCATACATCCACATATTTTAACATATGGTTCGGCAATTACATACATTGGTGCAGCACATTGGATGTTTAACATAAATTGGACATGCACGCCCACATACACGTATGCACGCACGCACGCACACACACACGCACACACGCACGTGACGCACGCACATACACTCATACACACTCCTGCTCACACACATACTTACATACATACGTACATTCGTACATACGTACATACATACATACATGCATGCATACATACATACATGCATACATGCATGCATGCATGCACGCATGCATGCACGCACGCACGCACGCACGCACGATTAAGAAGACAAAAGAACAATGACTTAATATTTTAACAAGACAAAAATACAACTCATTTTGTACCTATACGGGACTTTGTCTGTTGTTTGTACAAAGGCATACCATGAAAAATAAAAAAAATAACATTTTGCATATGAAACGGAAAGACATCTAAAGGCTTGTACAAGCACTCAGTTGCTGATCACCTCAAAGCAGCTTCCTGCTTTTGAGCAAGTGCTCAAGTGCCTTGCTCAATGATACACTACAGAGACCTCTGATCTGAACTGCCATTGAAAGCGATTATGTGTTGGGGCCTTCAAATTCATGTCTGTCTTCATAGAACATAACGAAGAGCTTTTGATACTCTCATGCCTGCTGGGGTTAAAGTTTTATCTTCAATCTCATTTTGCTGTCACAAGTACAAGAATATACACACAAAGTTCTCACCTGTTACTATTTGCAAGACACTTCTTACACATTCCTACTGTCTGTATGAAAAATCGTACTCAAATACCTTAAGCCATGAAAAAAATACTTGTATCCAGGAGTAAGTGGAACATATTTCCTCAAGAGAAAATAGAGGTCCAAATTTACATATTGTCTCCTTTGTCTCAGTTGTGAACTAACTACTGTCAAAATTGTCTCCGACAGCCATCCATTATCAGGAGAAAAATGGCCATCTTAGATAGATGGCTGCTTTACATAGTTTCAATATAATAATCTTTTATTTTTTAAACTTAATGGGAGAAATTTGAAGTGGCCATTTCTACAGGTGATTGTCTTTACACAGGCGGCAGTGAGAGCAGGTTAGACTGTAGTTGAATTAACCCCATAAGTTTCACAACCTGTGACCTCTATTTATAACTAAAGTAACCGTAAGGTTTGACCCTAGTTGAATTAACCCGTAAGTTTAACAACCTGTGACCTCTATTTATAACAAAAGTAACTGTAATTTGTCCTGCAGGTGACAAGGAGTGCAGTCTCCAGCTACACACTGTGAATGCAATCCACATTGCCTCTCAGACAGTCAGTGACCTTATCCACTGCCTGGGCTACTCGTGTGCGCCAGAAGGAAAAGCGGTCAATGTTGTGGCTGGGGGTCTGGAGTCTGGTGTCATCAGGTACCGTAGCAAGACTACTTTTTATTTTTAACCAAATTTTTTTTCCGTGGTGCCAGTTTGAGACTACCAGGGTATGGATTCTTTACCATAAGTTTTTTTTGCGAAGTTTAGATGATAGCTGTGGTGGATTGTTATACAGATATGGCAGAAGATATGCCATTGTCTCTTATACAAAAATTGTTTTGTAAACCAAAGCCTATGAACTGTCAGATAAATATTCCATACTTTCTTTGTCTTCATTCTGAATTCTTTTTCAGGTGAGGGTTACTATCTGTAGAATTTTTAAAAATTTAATAATGCACATACTTGAGTGTGCAACTTAAGTTCGATCAAAGACATTGATAAAAGATAAATGTGCTTGAGAGTAGTAGCTGACAGTTCCTCGACCGTGGATTTTTTATGAACTGGGGGAAAACAATTACTATGTTTTATTTTCTTTGGTACATGCACGGACTGCATAGCTGTGATGTATGTACAGAAAAATTGTGAAGACTTTCTTTAAGTAAGAGTAATGGTTAGTTAATACTGTAATGTAACAATGTTTCACCCATTCTTTGTTTATTTCGTAATTGCTTTTCTAGGTTATGGAGCAGCTGGGATCTTACACCATTACGAGACTTGGAAATGCTCAATCCTCGTGCTGTGATAAGGTGAGAGATTTTAGCATGAATTTGACTTCCTGATATTCTGAAAATTATTGAAAGATATATAGTGACACTTTGTTCTAAATTACTGTAGATGTTAGACATCCTAATAGGTACAATGTAGGTCAATTAGGAGATAGACTGCTTTGACTCTTCCTATCAAGACCAGCCCAGGCTGTTCAGGATACATCCCTGTAGAAATATGGAGGAGATAAAACACTGAATATATTTTTCCATTTTTGAAGTGAAGCTCAAGTCCTTTGCTTACCACTGCACCACAGTTTCTGATCATGTAAATTTTCATTCAGAATTTTTTTTAAGGGCCGTTACAGCCCCAGTCGCATGTATTTCCTTCTCTGGGCACTGGCCTCCTCAAACCCACTAGGATTATTTTTATCGTAATGTGTCTCATTGTCTCTGAAATATATTCTTTATGCAATTTTCTAAAACTTAAAACAAAAGCATTGTAGAATTTTTTATTTTTTTTAATGTCTGCAAAAAATGCCAATGCAAGCAGTATTGGTTAGGCCTGAGAAGTCAAGTACTGAAATATGACCTGGACCAGAATGATGAGAGGTCTAAATATAACAAAGTGCTGTAAGGATTAGATTTAGCATGCTGCAAATGGTCTACAAGATATAAATTGTCTACAGAGAGTGCAATTCTCATTTTGGTCTGGTACAACCTATGTGCTTGTTCCTCTTTTATCTCTGTGTACTTACCCTCTCTTCTGTTTAGTTGTCCTCGTTAGACTGAACTGTCAACATGAGGTTCTTTGTAGCCTTAACTTTACCCACCCAGAACACTTAGATGTGGAGTCCGTTTTCAAATTTTCCATTTGTGTCTTGAGTAGCGTAGTAGTTTTAAAATGTTAGAACACAGACGAGCAAAGATGCCGCATCATCCTGCATTGTCTTTCTGTTTGCACTACATCAATGTTTCGACATTCTGTCCTCTCCTCAGCCTGACCTTCACATCTGACTCTCAGTACCTGATGGCATCTCTCTCGGACGGCAGAGTGGTCATCTGGAGCCGGGAGGAGAGGCTCATCCGCCGACAGCTGGACAAATTCATTCCAGTCATCAATTCTGCAGATGGAGAAAAATAAGTAGGTGTACAGTCCAGAATGTGGCCACACTACACAAGGCACTACTTTCTGAATAAGTGTTGTTCATCCCAATCAATCTGAGAGAGAGGCAGACAAGAGGGGACTTTTCTTTTCTAGCAGATATCATCTGTGCCTTTGGGACAAACTCTTGATCAAATGTACAGATATCAAAGTAGTGGTGAAGACAAGTGGACAAGCTATTGTAATATGTTTCACCTTCCAAAATGGAATTTTGATCCAAAACTGAATACTTCCTTACAGATCAAGACTCTAGAGGATAAGTTAATGGAATCATATACAGTGTCACTATACAAAATTATACTCTTTACTTATGTTTTGATATAAATTATACTACATAGAAGACTTTTCATTCCTTGGTATTGATCGAAAGTTATACGATGTGAACAATTTGTGGACAAAATGAGACTAGCGCCATTTTCAAAGTTTAGCCAAAGCTAGTACCATAATATCCGGCAGGGTGAAGCAAATTCCTTTTTCACAATACATAATTTGTGCTCTTTAAAACACCACAGCAAGTGTTGCTTTTTATACTAAATGCGACAAAGGCAGTAGATCTTTCTTGACGAATTGCAAAGAATCCATTGCAGGCCAATAAAGTTATTTCTTCAAGTCATGTGGCTTTGCTTTTAGTGGCAGAAAATTTGTCTGCAATCCTTTAGTTCCTGATTACTTTAAGTCCTATATTTAGGCTTCAGTAACAGTAACTCTTTTTTGATGAATTTAAAATATGATTTCGAGCTTAAGAAAAACTAAGACGCAGCTATTCAGACAAAAGCACAAAGAGTAGAGGAATTAAATTGTTGTATTTGACTAGCTAATGCAAATCACACAACCTGCTGGTTTTGTTATCTGTATTATTTCAGTTTTATTAGTAACTGGTATCATCAATCATTGTAAGGTCAGAGCCAAAGTTACTCTTTAAAATAAATATCATTTGATAAGTATTTTGTAAAAAAATTAGAGTGGGTTTGTAGCATTTTGTTAAAAATGTTTGAAGATCTTACATCATCTTTACTCTAAAAACAAAATTACTGAAGTCTAACCAATAGATTGGTGATAAAAAGAAATTTATATTTCTCATTTGATTTGTCGCATTTTATCGTGAAACTGTTAAAGAAAGATGTTTAATTTCTGTATTTTGAAGTGAACTTGTAGTGTTTATTCTTTTTTGTATAGTTTCTCCATGCGAAAGAAGACGTTTCATTTTTAAGTTTTGATATGAAAATTCACAATGTAAAAGAAGACGTCCTATACTTTGAATCCCAAGTGAAATTTGACCAAATGAAGAAAAACAATTTCAGGTAATTCCTTTATGTGTGGAGTTCCAGCACCTGTAAGGAGTCATTATATTACTAAGATCTCGTATTGGTTTTTGCATTTTCAAAATAAAAATTGTATCTACGTCTTTGTGATGATATCTGTTCTATTCGAGGTTCAAGGAGTTCTTGTTTTTTTTCATTCAAATTTATGTGTGAGTTTTTGGGATTACAAATATATTTTTTTTCATGGAGTGGATTGTACATTGCTGTGTGATATTTTTTTCCCCTCAAAGATAGATCAGCAAAAAGATTCATAGCACAGTTGTTCCGAAAGATCTTTTTATTCTTTTCTGATATATTTTTATACTGAATTTTTAAAGATATGTTTTCATGATTGCTCCTAGAAAAAAGTCCTTAATAGCCTGTGCAGGGCTTCAAATTTTACTCCTCTCTGGATGAAAGAATTTGTTTAAAGTGTGGGCTTTTTTACCATCCTATTCTGCTGTACACTGTCAACTCATAAGTTTGTCCATTTAGACGTGCCATGTTTTACCCAGTTCAGTATTGTTTGCAGCTCCATCTTTTGACATTCCCGGGCATTTTTTCTTGACGCCTCCATACCAATCATATTTTCTTACAGTTTGATGCATTAAATCCTGAAATTTCTTTGTTCAGTAGCATGTACTGCTCTTACTAGTTGATGATAGTAGTTATTATAGTCAATATATTAGGTCTAGAAAACATAACAAGTAGTTCTTTACCAAAGACAAAAGAGTAAGTATAACCATGCAAGTGAAGTATTGCCATCTTGGAAAAAGTTTTCCACAATTGAAACAAAAGGAGCTCTTTCAGTCTGTGGTTTAGTGGTCAGGCTGTTCACTATCAAGGTAGAAGATAAGTGTTCAAGTTCTGAGTTGGGAAATTAATTTACTGTCTATTTGTATACTTTATCTTACTCCGCCCAAGTTGGCTCTGAAAGGCACCCCTTCCCCACCCACCCCCAACCCCCCCCCCCCCCCCACTCCCCTTTTTCTAAATAATCTAGTTTCTTTTGATGCACTTGTAAAAAACTGTCGGTAACAATCACATTTTTGTCCTCGGGTGGCTTATATTATTAAGGGTGTATTGGGAATGCTTTGTTTCAAGAATTCCAGTCTTCAATCTCTGCTCGGCAATATTTCCTGTTCTTCAGTCCCAGATTTATTTTGTGTTGAAGCAGTTTGGAATATACAGAGCCTTTGCCATTTCAGACAATATCTGTAAACCTTGAATACTGCTGGAAGTTGAAAATGTTGTTTTTTCTGTTATCTGGTCATCTTTGTTGGGTTTTTGTCCACTCCTGATCTCCTGTTTGTGCTCATAATGTGGATCTCCATGCAGACTCAGTGACATTGTTATTTATGAAATTATTTAACATGTGTATGTCATAAAGGTGTTCTACTTATCGGTTCTAACAAGTCTCCTTGTTTTCATACTGAATAGCCCCTTATCTTTACATTTCAGTCATTGGTCAACCTCCTGAGATTTTATTTCATACAATTATATCTTGAAGAATATATACTCTGATATTTGCTTATGTTACGCATGAATATGAGCTTATATTATGGTGGTGCATGCGTTGATTATTTTTTGAAGTTTATATATACATATATATCGTTTTAAAAACATATATTTAGATATGAAGACAGATTTATGACTAATCAGACAAGTTTTGAAAAGGGGCAAAGAGCTTGGTGCTTATACAAGAGATTATGCACGTCTGCTGATTGAGCATAGATTTGTAGGCAGGAAGAGCAATAGAAACCTGGATGTATACTCCTTAAAGAACCTGGCAGACAGATATATCAATTATAAGAACAAGATGGACCCACTTTTAAGTTTCTGTTTCTAGGGCAAAACTTCTGACAGCATTCTCTACTGGCAGTAAAGCAGGAGTATATTTATCTTAAATATTCTTATCCTCTTCTTTTTTATAGTCACTGCAGAAATAGTAATTACATTTATGCTAATGTTTACTGTTCATTATAGATGACTCGTCTAGTCTACGCTTTTTTTCTTGAAATTGCCGAGTATCACTGTGCACATTTGTAGTCACTTAAGTCAAAGAAGCTTGCAATTGTAGTATGGTGTATTGTCTTCTTTCTGGTGCTGTCTCAACTCCTTGCTTTGATGACCCCTCAGAGCCCACCGCAAATGCCATTTTTTCATTTAGTATTTATAGTAAGTTTCTTTAAGTGTTTTTTTTTTTCGAAACCTTCTTTAGTAATGCGCATATTCCCCACCGTAGTTTCGTTGGTTATGTCTTTTTGCTGTCCAGTTCTATTATTATTTTTGTGCAAAAAAATATGCTTATTTTTATTCAATACTTAGCACCCGTCATTTGAAATTCCGTCTTTTTTTTTTGGTGCTCCAAATGATGGTCGATTGTGCAAAAGAAAAACCCACTGCCGTGTAGAATTTCATGTATTATTTTGTGATAATTCACTGGCATTAAAAAATCTGATTGGTCTAGAATTGTCAGTTATTAGTTTAAATTCATTTCTTGTTTATTCAGTCTTTCATCCACAAGATTACTCTCCAAGGTGCAACATTGTTAGTGCATGTATCAACCTTTTTTTTTTTTTTTGCAGTATTGATAATCTAGACACCATTTCATCTGTTTTTGTATATTTGAATATATAGTTATTGACATTTCTTGTGCTTGGATGTTTCAGTGTGTTGTCTTCCGAAGATATGGAACGAAAGTATGAATGAAATTGAGATTGTACATTTCTCAGCTATTGTAAGATAAAGAATCTTTAAGCTGTGATAGGCCTACTCCTCCACACTCTTTCTAAGGATGTCAGCCGACTGTGTCCTTATTATCTATTAATGCTAATAGTTTTCCTGTTGAAGTAAACCTGACCTTTTTCTAGCTGAGAAGTTTTGGCCCATGATAGTTAGTTTTTCTTCTGTTTTCCTTTTTTATTTTTTCTCTTCTTTTAGCGCTGTGCTCTTTAATCTGGGGCATAAGCATTGTGGCCTACATTTATTAAGTTTACATGAATGGGCATTTGAATGCAAAGTGTTCACCTGGATTTTTGACAAGAGTCAACAGTCTTCTTTTTTTTTTGCTATTTGATTTCTGATTCTTGTGGAACCTATAACTTTTTTTTTCTTTTTTTTTTTTTAAAGCATGTTTTGCTCAACATTGTGTTGATTATTTTCTTAAATGGCAGCTTTGTCTGAATTTGCAGTTTTATGTACATCACCAGTATTTTCTGTTGCTTATATGTATGGCAGTTTAAGTTTTTAAACAGAGAGCTGTGTCTGGCTTGCTTTCGCCCAGTTCCCATGCTTCAGAAGTTTGTGCTATTATTCTGTAATTTGTTTAGGCCTACTGTGTATTTGTATATGACATATATCATTTATGAAGTGATGTGTATATGACTAGAGAGTGATCTGTTTAGGCCCGTAAGATACGAAATTTTGATGGGATGGGTGGGGGTGGGGGGTTAACTTTTGACTGTCATATGTGTCATGATCAAGTCTTTACTATGTGCAGGAAAACAAGGTCAGGACATGAGACTGAAGTTACTGTCTGGTCATCTATATGTGAGCTGTCTTTTTATAACTACTTTATGAGTGAAATCCCTTTGTGTGGATGGACAGAGTAAGCATTTGTGGCCACAGCTTTTGTTTTAGTAAGAGTTTTACGGCACTTGGAACACCATTAGGTCTTATAACTGCCAAAGACTAGAGGTGTTACGAGAGAGTATCATACACAAAAAAGGAGGAGAAATGAGAATGGAAAGTTGGATAGGTAAGAACGAGCAAACTACACCCGAGAACCCGCCAACCACCCACTGGCTGCTTCTGCAGCTTTGTTTCTTCCAAAAGTAGTGAGTCAGTGCATGGGAAACACAAAGTTTCAGTGTAAGATTCCTCATGTCATTTTTCATGGCTTTGGACACGAGTTATGCCAGCACTGCACACTTGCTTTGACATCTTCTGCCTAAATAGCCTCATATGTTGCCTGTACAGGATGTAATAATGTAGATCTATCAGTTACATTGTTGCTTATTGTGACAGTGTACTGTCTACTACTACTGCCATGCTATCATGGATGAGAGCCGTATTTTTATTTTTTTTTGGTGGGCAAAATAGTCTGACAAAAGGGATGAAAACCATCTAAAATAGAGGTTTGTTCTAATATGTCAGTTTATGTACATATTACATGTTGCTGCATTCATGTAACTGTGTTTCTGTCGATTCTTTGTTAGAAGAAATGTGTTCAATTCAGATTTTTTTTTTAAATATTTTGCTGTGAAAGGTTTAAGGATATTGCTTTACATAAATGTATAATTTGAGAGAGTCTGTGTGTGTGTGTGTGTGTGTGTGTGTGTGCGTGCGTGCGTGCGTGCGTGCGTGCGTGCGTGCGTGCGTGCGTGTGTGTGTGTGTGTGTGTGTGTGTGTGTGTGTGTGTGTGTGTGTGTGTGTGTGTGTGGTTGGGGAGGGGGAAGGGAGGAGTTGTATTTGGTGGCGTTAGGAAGTGGTTATTTTTATCAGTAGTGTAAAGGAAACCACTTCTTTTTTTTTTTTAATATGTGTGCTTTGCTGTGAAACTTGAAAGAAGAAACGAGTGTGTGGAATTACAATATAATATTCTCACACAAGAAGCTGGACAGATTTTTGACATGTGAAAAAAGTGCCATGATCTTATAATCGACTGCTGCTACTGTGAGACAATTGTTTTTCTGTACCTTTATTTTTATTTCAAGAATGCACATGTGCGTTCATAAGTCACAAATTATTATATGTTGTTACTCAAAATGTGCACACTTTGATAGGAAAGTGTTTCATATGAACTACTCACGCAGATGCTCAAAATGTCTCTACTTTCCTTGTTGTATCCCTAATACTGCAGTGTAACAATTGACGCATCAGGTCACACCTTTTGATAATTCATTTTCGATTTATTATTGTGTGATTAAAAGAAATGACTGAAAAATGTTGTAATAATGATAATGAGAAATGATATTTATAAAGCAGTTTCCCAATCAGAATGTTGGCTCTATATCATCTTTATTTGTAAAAGAATTGTTTAGTATTGGAGAAGGTGACAGGTGACTTTCAGTTCACAAAGTTAAATTATAATTGCAAATATGGTTTACATATAAATGTATGTCTGTCTGAAGTAAAAAAAAAACAAAAAACCCAGAGTTATGTGAGAAAATAAGATGTATGCTTTGAAAATTGTTGCTTTTTGTTTGATTGATTTTCTACTACTCACTTTCACATAATTCATTGTTTCGAATTGATATTAAGTTTCAGAATATAATCGTAAACATTCCAAGGTGTTTTTGTGCACCGATGCCTTATCAATATGCTGTACTTTCTTAAATACTGGCAAGCTTATACATATCAAAATACTTGCTGAGTTCATGTCGTTTATGTCATTCCCTCTCTCATTCTCAGTCTGTCTGCCTGTCGGTCTGTCTGTCTATCGGTCTCTCTCCGATGTTTTATTAGTAGAGGTTTTACAAAGAGCGCCAGAAGATTAGAGGTTTTACAAAGGAGTAACAAACACAAAAAAGAAGGAGGGGGGATAAAGACGATAGATATTTGATAGGAAAGAAGGAGCAAACCACACCAGAGCGCCCGCCAACCACCCACTCAAAACCCGAGTAAGGAGTTGAAAACTCAGATTTTGAGTGAGTGGTTGGCGGGTGC